GGAACGAAGAGGGAAGTCCTTTCCAGTGCTGCCCTCCTGAGCCACCCGGTCCTGGTCTCTGCTGTGCCAGCTCGTGCCGCAGTACTCAGGATAGTGGCTAGATGGCACACACAAGGCTGTTGAGAAGGAGACAGTCTTAGTGGAGAAAATTAAATACAGTAAGGACCAGCCTTCACCAAAACTTTGCAAGTGAAGTTGATCGGAACAGGCAGAGGGGTGTGAAGCTATGAAGACAGACATCAAGGCCAACAGCAAGAAAATGAAGGGAGGACACAGAAGACATCCTGGAGCATGGCAGAGCTCTCCTTTCGTTTCCATATCTATTGTTTACGTCTGTGTTTAGCCCATTGCCTTGGAAATCATGAGGAACTGCTCTTTTTAATTACAGCCATCATAGTTCTTTCTCTTTTAAAATTAATCTATCTGTGGGTCACCTCCGTCCTGCCTTGGTGCTCCTCTGCCTCACGGAGCAAGAGTTAAGAGCCCCATCTTTTGGCCCTTTCCCTTAGTGCCTGCTCGCTTGTTTCACTGACCAAAAAACAGTTAGGCCTGTGCAGGATGTTCCCTGGCACATCAAAATCACATCACGCGTGGCTGGCTTCGGGGTTTGTTACAGGCTCAAAGCAGGCAGCAAACATGCTAAAAGGTGCCGAAGTATCAACCTTTCTGGCAACTGTGACTCTACAGGCTTGGCTTCAGGCTGGGTAAAAATACGCTCTAGATGCATGGCTGGGTAAAACTAGGCAGGTTTGACTGTCGATCGCTCAGAGATTGCAGGATCTGATAGGCAAGAGGTCCAGAAGTCGGAATAGTAAGTCAGGCTCCTACAGCAAGAGCTTCCCAGGAGGGGATCTGTGGGATTCTCCTGTGCTGAGCTCATGGAGCATGCAAAGTCAAGCATTTGCAGAAGCTGGTATAAATAAAATCACTGTCAGAAAGAGTATGTTAAGAATTATCAGAAAGATAATATTCCTGGGATTCTTCTAAGTGTTTACACCCAGTAACCCGGCTGCCAAAAGTGAGCTATTACTAAGGGTTACTAACTCTGTGGTCTTGGAAGTCCACCATGTTGTCCTGACCTCTCGGGCTTTGATGCTCAAAGGGCTGGAAGTTGGGCAGCAATTTTAGCCTCTCCCATTGCTGTTGATTCAGAAGGTGTTTTAAATGGCAAGCTCAGCCAGCAATGCAAACTGCAGGCATAAAAAGAATAAAAATCCCTAAATTAAAGCAAAGGCTACATTAGGTACAATTGTGCCATATTTTTCTATTTAAGTCAATGTCAGGTTGGGCCTTGAATTCATGAGCACAATGAGGAACGTTTTGGAAAGTGGAAATTGCGTTACGGCTTCTGTTTCCTTTCCAGGGAAGCATGTGAAGCACATTACAGAGCGAGGGAAGGTCATGACTGCAGGGAGCAGCACAGGATGTCTGAGAGGGAAAGGTGGGGCGAGAGGAGCTGCTGCAAAACAAGGACAGAGAAGCAGCAGGAGAGCATGAGGGTGAAAAGTGGTAACTGGAAACCTTGCAATATCTTAATCAGAATTCTTTCACATAAAAGGTCAAAAAAAAAGCTTCTCCCCCCCCTTCTCTATTTCTGACTTTTTTTAATCTCGTCTTTTAATTTAAATATGCATTGTTGGGGTTTTTTCCACATTCTGGCAATGTTCTGAAATTTTTGAACTGCCAGACAGATAGACTCAGTGTTTCAAAACCAGCATCTGCACGTGTGCACATACTAGTCTGATGAAAATGCTGGACAGGCTGGGACTGATCAAAATGTATTTGCTTAGCCATGATCAGTTAATAACACCACTGTGTATTAAGTATTGTGCTTGCTATATTGCAGCATGCACCTCCCAGCTATATTTCATGCATCGTTCCCTCTGTCCATAAAATTATTTCTGAGCCAGCCCTGCGCTGAGTCTTAAGCAGGGTGGAAGCGATGCCATCCCTCCCTCCACCCCCTCTGTCTAGGGCAGCGGGAAGATCTCAGGCCTGTTGTATACAGGCAGGGGAAGCAGTTTGGAAAGCAGCTAGAGGAAGAGCCCGCTTTCTCTACTCTCCCTTTACTGTAGCAGCTATGTTGTCCTTTCCAGGATTGCTTATTTGAAGCACTTTGCAGCACTACTGGCCAAGCAGCACCTCCGGCAGTGTGCTGGGGAGAAAAGCGTATGGTTTGGCATAAAGGAAGTAAGCATAAAATGTCTACATATTTCTCAAAAGGCAAATTGTCTGAAAAGTCTGTCTGATGATAGCCCAAACCAGAACAAGCTGTAATTACATATCCTTTTGGTTTGCAGTTTATATGATTTTCTCTCTGGTTTTGCAAGTGTGCCACAGTTACGCTTCAGTGGCTCAGCAGCCTTTTAACAAGCTGTAGAAAGTACCCTATTGCTCAGGCACTGGCAATACTAAAAGACAGAATGTACTGTCCTTTAACCCTTTGCAAGATTACGTAGCTTAACAATATGGAATAGTCTCAAAGTGATGACCTGTCCACAAGGAGCTGGCAGGAGGGGGGTCAGGAATTGGGATGATTACCCACTACCTTTTCATTGTACAGCTGCTACTCAGGATATTCTGGTGCTTGAGTTAATAATCTTACAAATGTAACAAGGTAGAGAGGGAACGGCACAAAGGAAATTATTTGGAAGGAATTAAACATTAACAACACACCTTAAATACAACCAAGTAGAAGCAAAAGAAGGGAAATACTGTTCAAGTACAGTCTGTACCCAGTTTTAACAGGCAGGCGGGATTTGTTTACGGAAGCAGACAATCATCTCCTTCCTCCCTGCAGTAAAACGTGTATTTAAAGGAGGTACTAGTAGGAATTTTGTCTAAGTACAACTTGCAAAGTAAAGCCTCAAAGACAAGCCTGGTCCATTTGAGTTGCTACTCTGTAAACTAATTATTTAATTTAAAACAGGAGGCAGCAGCTAGCTGACTATTTAACTTGATTCCCGAGTTAGGTGGCTTTTCAGTCCATGCTACCCTGGTGTCTGTAGTCCAGAGCTGTAAAACTCTGTGGTGAGAAGGCTGCTGGCTCAGCCATGGGATACCCCAGCTGATTCAGTGGCTCCTCCGTCAGCTTTTGCCACAGGATTCTCAAGGTACCCCAGCCGTAAAGCCAAAATGCCGTGGACAGCAAAGCCAATCTCTTAGAGGATCACTGACTACATGGTTTTGTCCTTAAGAAAATAAAGGGACAACCGTGGAGAGGGGCAAACCTCCCAGAACGGGTCTGCCTGCTCCAGCGGAGGCAGGAGAAGATAGTGCGCGACCCGCTGCACTTCTGCTATCGGTCCAAGTAAACTGGGATTTGCCAATCAAATTAATAAATAGCCCAACACCCCCTCCCTCCAAGTAACATAAAATCTGATTAAGAATCCAAAGGGTTCGTTTTTCAAAACGTCAGTGGCTGGATGAGAAGATCAAAGATCATTGATTTTTTTAATTGTATTTTATCTCAGAAAATGAGTTTTAAAAAATTCCTTATCAGCTTCTTTTTGAATGCCTGAAAGGGGGAAAAAAATAAAGGATGTTTATTAGTATTAGCAGTAGTATTCCAAAATGTATTGCATGCATTGTTATTAATGTTATTCTAGAGATGCAGTGCCAGCATAGATACAGAGTGTTGGCAATAAATTAATTGGAGAACTAAAAAAGTACTGGAAATTAGGAAAGATGATGAGATGGAAGAGATCAGCTGAGCAAAGTGAAGACTGAGATGGCACGTCTTTCTTGCACTAATATGGTAATGAAACATAGCGAAGACAGAGTGGGAATACTGATCTTCACATGCTTCTAACAACTTCTTGCCATACTTGGTCAAATTTCTGTAAAATTGCTAACGTGAGCTATTACAGGATGAAAAGACCTTTATGCCAGTATAAATGCATCTCTGGTGCGGAGCTCTGTCACTTCTGCAATGACAGTTTCTAAATTGATACAGTATTACAGAATGAGCTGGGCTTTGGAAAAACTGGTGGCTTTAAGTTCACCTGTGCTAGCTTTAGCCTGTGTCCTCCGGTAGAGGACATAAGTCCATGGCAGGAAATCCAGGGCCCATAGACACTACATAATGAATACAGGGAAAACCAACCCAAACTCCCACAGAAATTGATGGGCTCTGGGCTGACATTACCTCTCAGAAATGAGACTTGATATTATGGTAAATAGTGCCATGAAACCTTAGTTCCCGACTGTTTGACAGTCAAGAAAAAACAGATCTAATACCGTGGATTATTTAAGAAGAAAACAGAGAAGAAAACAGCAAATGTTATTGTGCCTCTGTGTCGTACATGCTTCTGCTGCAGCTCTCGGAAGACAACAGAAGAGGATGAGAAGAAATGCAATGACGAGTGGCCGGGGTGATCTGGCATGAAGCAGTCCCTGTACGCAGAACAGCCAAGTAGGACAGGGCTCCTGCGGGATGGGGAAGAGTTGGCTGCTGGGCCTGATGCTAAAGGTCTGTAAAATCACGGGCAGTGCGGAAGGGGTAGCTGGCAACTGACGAGCTGAGAGCTAGGAGGCTCGGGTGAAATTACTGGGCGTTCAGTTCAGAATAGACCAGAGGAGACAGTTCTTCAGATACGTCATGAAGCTGGGGAGCTCTTTGCCACATAAGGCTGTGGATGCTAAAATTTACATGAGCTCGGGACGAGGCTGAGCAGGTTTGCAGAAGAGAAATTCACTGAGTGATACAGTTAAAAAACAGACCAACCTGTCTGGGTCAGAAAGTTGCTGAGCTGCGAGTCATTGAAGGAGGCCAGGAGAGAAAGTTTTCTCCCTTTTCTTATGCTCTTCCTGAAGCATCTTTTTGCCTACTTGCCCCTAGTGGCTTCTCCAGTTTAAGAAAGCCTTTAAATGCGTTCCAGGGAAGGAAAGGGCTAAAGGAAGATAGGAATCAAGAGAAACCACCTGCTTGTGAAGGACAACAAATGCAAGAAGGGCAGGGGTGTGAGGGTCACACAACCCACAGCTGAAGAGTTGGGAGCATGGGGACAGCCAGCAGAGCGCCGGGCAGCACCCGCTCCCTCCGAGGCACCCAGGGGCCAGGGGTACTGCCCGATGGGGACACGGGAGGACATGCAAATGGAAACTGCATCTTCGGAGAACGGCACCAGCAGTGCCCAGTGGGGCTGTCCCGGCACACTGAGGAGGTGCAGGTGTGGAGGCATGAGTGCTAATATGAGGGGAGAGGGGCAACCTAAGCCTCAGCAGGAGGGTTTTGGGGGGAGGCTGAAGCAGCATTGGGATGCAAGGACGTGGCTGGAGGTTTCTAGTGCAGCAAGGATGGGCTGGCGGGCATCTGTCCCCCTGTGCCTCGCCTCGTTTGCCCTGACCCATAACTGGAGCCAGACCTGTGCATGCCCCCATCAAGAGGACACCTCAGAGGCAGGAGGAGGCCAGGGGGATGTGCTGTGCAGCATCCCTTGGCCACAGTGATGCAGGGGGTTTTTGGGACATGCACTTTGCTGGGGATCCCTGGGTGGGAAGGAGGGATGGAGGGGGCAGACTCAGGAGGGACTGTCTTGGTGCCGGTGGGATTAAAACATTTTGCATTACAGTCTGTGGGCTTTCTGGAAAAGCTGACTGAAAGATTTTTTCTTTTCTTTGCGGTTTTGTACTAATAAACCAGGCTCCCCAGCAAAGTTTTATGCTCCACGCCATACCACGTGTGAAGTTAGGGCAGAACCCAAGAAGGAAAAACAGAGGCCAACAGACTACAAAGTCCCTGCCATACAGCAGTGCAGGCCATGTATACCTGGCTCCCAGATTTTGACAATGCATTTAAAAATTTATGCCTATTCAGTAATCATTCTTCCTTCAGGAAGCACTAACCTATTGAGCCGTAAGATTTTTAGGCCTCTCAGATCCACTGTCCCCAAAGTGGAGATGACCGTGGAGGCGGTATTCGTCTTGAGCAAATTTGACATCCACTTTGCTTGCCTAAATCCCAAATTAGTAGCCTTCTGGAGGAGGAAGAGGCGCTAAATGAATTCCAGTCCCACTCATTAAGACCTGAAGGAGCAGGGCTGCCCTTCAGTCTCTCTCCTTTTCTCCAGTCATCTCAAGCCTAGCTGTCGCAGGCTGGAGCAACCGCTGGTGACGCCTCTGCCACTTGTGTAAAACACCCAAGTTACCGGTTCCCCCGAGGGATGGGTCCTCTGACCCTGGGCACCTCAGCTGCACCGGCTGCAAGAGCCGTGAGAGCCCTGCCTGGCTCCAGCATTGCCAAGGCATTGGTGCCACCCAGCAAACGCCCTGCTCCCCTGCACAGGGTTCTGCTAGGCCAGAAACGTTAAGCTGTGAATGAGATTTATATTCTTGCCAGCAGGCTGTTGTTAAAAGCAGGTGGAAAGCTGCTTCTTTGAATATCTGATTTTTACTCTGACAGTTTCTCTTGACATTTCCAAGGCTTTAAAATTATTTTCCCCCCTCTCCATCTTTACTTTTCTGTGCATTGTTCTTCTGTGGCAGTCTTTTTCTCTTCATTGGTGTTGCTTCTGTAAAGGACTTTGCATAATGTCTTCCTTCAAATTGTACCATTTCCAAGTTTTCCCTTTATTTCAAACTTCCTAGTTGCTATGTGACTCTGCTGTGTGGTTTCTAGGTCTTCTTTTGCTTTGCACTGTCCTTTTTCTCTTAGGCACTTTCCCTTGAACAGCTCTATGGTGGTGATACCATGAAAAATCTCTGTGTATCTGTGTCTCTACACAGAAGTCTAAAATATCAGAGAGAGAGAGACAAAGCAAGCATTTTTTAATATAAAATAAGGGATATTTATTGATAGGATATTTGTTTTAAAAACTTCCCTAATAGCCATTTTATAAAACGTACATGCTTACGTGTTTTCATACATTCTAGTCATACCACAGGCATTCCACAAAATGAACAAGCGTTTATTTTTGTGCTGTGTGCCCAGAACTGCACGACCGTCGTCCTGCCAGGATTTGGTGCTGAAGAAGGTGCAGCCTGATGTTCAGAGGCAGAGTGCTCCTAGTTTTACCGGGGGCCATTGTGAGTGGCAGGGGCTGCAGGTCTGAATCAGGATGGGTTTACGCTTTTACTCACTGTCAGAGAGTGGTATAGCGTTATATATATTCTGTTATAGATATTTGGGAGAGTACATCTCCTGAAGTCCTCTCAAACAGATCCTTTTCAACTCAAACACTTGATTCCTGGAACAGTTTCACATGTGTGGCACTGGGTCTGATCTGAAGCCCACCGACAGCAGCGAGCGCCTTTCTGCTGGTACTCAGTCAGGCTGTAACCAGATTTAAAAAGTGACCTACATCTTTTGCTCCATATCTCAGGCTCTCTTTGCGTAACCATCCATAGGTGATCTAAATTTACCACTGCAGCGTGAAAACCTGAATCCACAAGCAGCGATGGGTCTCGCTATTTAAACTGCTTTTTGTCCTGATTTCAGAACCATGAGTAAGACTTGCACTTGCCAGTTTTGTCAGCAGAGCTAAGCTGGTGAATGTTTTCTTTAGTGACCATTTTTGTTTCTGGTTCATGGGTATACCAATAGGAGCTACGATGGGGACCAGCAAAACAATGCTTTAGCGGATATTCCTTATTTTGCTTACTGACCCAGGTTTGCTAGCCCGACAGAAGTGGTTTTTGCTTTCCAGTATAGTTGTGTTCAGACTGAGAGGCCTTTTCCAGCTTGGAAGTTTTGCCAGTGGGCTTCAGCCCTTTTTGAATTTCAGATGCAGGCAGACACAGATGGGCTTTCTACAGCTGTGTCTTGCCCTACCACTGTTTCTTTGCAGAGGCAGGATGGTGCCAGTCAGCCAACACCTCCAAAGAGTCACTAGGAAAAGCTATAGGACTGCAAGTGAGTCCTTGGATCTCAGTTCTGTCACCCAAAGCAAGCTGGCAGGTGTATAAGTATCTGCTTAATACCTGAGGAAAGGTGGAAACTGCTTTTGAAGATGGTATCAGATCTTTTGTCATCTTTTTTCCTTTCCTTATAAATACTTCTTATGTAAAGTTGCATGGAATCGTCATTTAAATTAGTGGAGCGATATTGCTTTGGAGCAGTTGCTGTTCATGCGGAAGGGAAGAGTGGGCTTTGGGTGTGAGTCTGGGGTGTCCGGTAGGCACTGGCTCATGAAGAATGCAACCCATCGCTCAGGGCAGATGACGGAATGGCATCTGGCTGACCATTTCTGGAACAAATGGGACACATTTGCCTGTGGAGACAGGTGAGACAAACTCTATTTAAACTGTGTTTAAAATGGGCTTTGTTAATGGAGAACTATTAATTTAGCACTGGGAACGTAACGTGTGCGGTGTGTTACCCACTTCTGTCAGGCTTTAGGATGGAGGTTGAGTTTTCCTCAGGGTGCATCTGGTTAGAAGTGCAATAAACTATTGTGGTTTCTGGGATTTGAGCAGGTCAGCCAGGCAGAGCGTACCTGGGATGCAGGAGCTGGGCAGCAGTGGACCGAATACAATGCAGAAATGCAATGCAGGACCTGAGGCCAGTGGTCAGCAGTGGCTGATTCTGCTCCTTCCACCTGGGAGACGGATTATTTCAGCGTAACAGAGTTCCCTGCGACTCTGCGATGCAGCCCTCCCAGCGAAGGGCACAGTGATTCATCCACTAAGTGGATGTAGCAAAAGCAGTAGCGATTCACTGTTGTTTATAATAGGGGTACCGTGCATTATGCCTGATTTTTTAATTGTGATTTTCTAAGAAAACTTTCTGGAATGAAGAGAGTATTATGTTAAAGTGTCTCCTGAATCAAACTTTTCTCATACGGCAGTTTCTCTCAAGGTAGCGATAATATTCCCAGAGAGAGCAGGATGGGAAGACTGGAGGTCTCTTGGTCACATCTTCCAACAGCATCAGACTGTCTTTTTGTTAGATGCAAACTGTCAGGGACGTGGAGGACGTGGGGAAGTTTTTCTCAGTTACTCATGGTGGTTAATACCAAAGCACTTGATCACATCAGTGTTTTGAGCTACTGGTTTTACAGCCAGGTGCTTGCTGCCATGAGTTAGGGTTTTGTAAATTAGGCCTGTATATATTCTGCAAAATATTAACAGGTTTACTCTCCCTGCACACTCTTCATTCATTGCTACATAACAGCAGAGAGCAATTTAGCTCCCTGGCAGTGTATTTTAGTAAGACAGCAAATTGTCTGTGTTTACTTATGCTATACAATTCAGTAATTGTACTGCAAATCTTGGCCAAGTTCCTCAATAGTTGGGGCCTAAAAACAAGCTCTTAAATTCATATTTAGGTTCCTAAATAGGTCTGATTTTTCAAATACTGGGTTCATCCTGACTCTTGCTGACTTTTTGGCTATCAGGCTGTCAGCATTTTGAAAATCAGGCCTGCTATGTGTTCCCACACTTGTATGGGGAAGCTAAACTATGGTTTAGGCTCCTTTTAATATTTGTCTTTGTAGTATTGCAGTGCCTGTTTTATTCTCTACATTGCAATAATTCCTAGTGGAGCTTATTCATGTTGACAAACTATCAGTTTGGATTGATTAAAATGTCTAGTAAAAGAGTTGCCAGCAAGGTTGCTATTTGAAATCTTTGCTGGAAGATGAAGAAGTTCACAGAGTAAGAATACTTCTGTCAAGTCACTGGGTATGTTTCATAAAAGGGCAGGCTATAAATACCATCTTTAATATAACATATGCTTCACTGCCTGTGTCTGACAACAAACCTGAGTGAACTAGGGTTCATCAGAAAGGCTGATTTTGCCCTCAATATTATTGGGAGCTCTTCAGTGCCTTTTGGTGAGGTTTTTCTCCCATGTGTCAGTGCAGTAAGGCTTCCTTTCCTTTCTCTACATAATTTCAAGGAAAGTCTGATTCTTTACTTCAGGGGCTGAGCTAATTCTTTCCTCTGGACCATTTTAAAAGAAATCGTTTAAGCCTCAAATATTTATGCTGGCTGCAGCAGCAGATGTGTGAAAGAGTGGGCATTCACTTTGCTTCTTGCTGCTCATCCTCAAAGAAGAGGAGGCTTTTCTTAATCTGTGGGCTCAGAAGCACAGCAGAAGGACTTTTTGACCTAAGATAAAACAATGACAAACCACTCCTGTGGAAGCACAGTATGCAGGTGCTTTGGGATGCTTCTGGAATATATTACTGGGGATAAATTACTCTTTCTTTTCAAAAGAAAATCATACCGATGCCTTTAGGAAAAAAAAGTCTTGTGTGATGAGGGGAAAGGGAAGACATTATTTTTGGTAATATTTAAAAGTTGTTAAATTCAGAAGGCCCTGGAATGGGAGAATTTAACATAGGGTAGATCAGCAGAGTGATCTGGCACGATTGCAAAGGCGACTTTGAAATAGTTTCGCATTTTGGTCTTGGAGACCTTTCATTTCTTCTGTTCAGATGCCCTGATGAATCAAGATTTGCAGCATTTTCAGTAATCAATATGCACTTTTTTCCTCAAATGAGGGCCACTCCTGAGAAAAGAACTTTATTTTGTAAACATCATTTGGCTGAGAATGACTGCGTGTTTCCATTCCCCTTGCAGAGGCACAGCCATAGCTGGAATTGTTTTTGGTATAGTATTTATAATGGGAGTGATTGCTGGGATTGCCATCTGTATCTGCATGTGCATGAAGAACAACCGTGGGACTCGAGTAGGGGTCATCCGAACTACGCACATCAACGCTATCAGCACGTACCCAGGTAAGGAAGCGAAATGACAGCACTGCAAGAGTGCCTGCATTCATGGTAGAAGTCTATCTTTGGATAGTTAGGGCTCCGCAGTAAATGGGGGATGTGAATACAGCAGGCAGCTCTTCTCAGTCCGGAGGGGAGCGGCATGACTCCCTGCTGAGAAACGCAAGACAGCTCAGTGTGCGCAGTGTTCGTCAGTGCAGCGCTCTGCCTGGGCTAATTTATTCAGCTATTCAGTGGGCTAATGAGATCTGGCGAGGTGCCATACTCACACAGCTGTATGGCTTGCGATGCCCGCAGTAGCACGTTGAGACCTCACTCAGGGCAGTGCTGCATTGTGCAGGATAGACCTTCTCCCTGTGCCAGAGGCTCTCTGGCGACGGATCAGTTGCTCTTCTTTTGTTCTTCTGGTTCTTGTATTTGCCCTTGTTCAAGTGCAGTCAGCTCCCTTTCATTGTCCCGATATAATGGGGGCCCAGCATACCACAGAGAGGGGAAAACCTGGACAATAACGTCTGTGGATCATAGCGCAAAGGCTTCGAGTGGTGCCATGTGGAGTCTAATGCAGCCCGAGCTGGTTGGTACTTGGCCAGAGCTCACAAGCCCTGCTGGGTGCTGCAGGACCCCAGATGACTTCTACAAAGGCACACAGACGTCTTTGCGGTGTGTTCTCTGCTGTGTGTCCCAGGAGGGACTGCTGGCTGGCATGCGGTGCTGGATCCGAGCTAGCTCTCTGCATCCGCCTGGCACTGTGCCTGAACTGATAGGAACTTGGAGCACAGTGCAGAGATGCCCGTTGCGCCTTGGTCAAAGTTAGCTGAGATCTGGCGGTGCTTGTTAGGTCTAGCTTAGTGTTGGATGTGCTCAGTGGAGGCCTGTCCGTGGGTTTACATTGTTTTGGTGTTTGGTTTTTTAGGTGCAGGGCAGCACCAGGGGAGGCACAGAGCCTAAGTCAGATCTGGCACTGAGCTAATAAGCTGTCACAGGCTCTGGGCACCCCACGGGACAGTAGGGACCCCTCATGGGTCTGCTCCAGTGCAGTTGTGCCCATAGTGAGTGGGAACGGGTACATCAGGCTGTACCTGTGCTAGCTCTGTGCAGAGCCACTCTGTACCACGCTTGTCAACTCACGCCAGTCTAGGATTGGGGTACAGGAGCACCAAAGGTGCTGCACCCAGCCAGCTGGGGTCTGCAAGGCTCATTTGTCTGGCTCCCCACCACGAGAAAGTGGCCACGTTGCTGAAGAGCAAAACTGACCCTGGAAGCAGCATAACGGTGTTTATGCAGTGCAGCTATGTCTGTGCTTCAGTGACACTTAATTACAAATCCAGGAGCGATTGCCTTGGGATAACTTGAGAGTTCACTGTAATAAAAGGCAATGGTGTTTCATGGATGAAGTCCCCTCATCCCACTCTTAGAGATCCCCTGCCTTTGTATTCCCTCCTGTTGCAAAGGTTGCAGCAAATCCCAGGTGCATTATGTATACTTACAGGCAAGCTTTGCAATATTTATTATGTGTTCCTTTATCACATTCACTGCTCTGAGTGTCTGTTTTCTCCCTCATGTTCTTACTTTCCAGTTAAACTAAAACCATCTATAATCATCCTTATCATTGCAACATTGTTTTGCATAGAGAGATGAGTAATGAAAGAAAACTGCAATATTCTCAACCATGAATTGCTGAAGAGCTACTTCAGGATCTAACAGTCACTGCAAGCTGTAAAAACAAGAGCAAAATGAAGATTCCAGGGCTGTAGCCTTTTCCTCCCCCAGTCTGCTCCTGCAATGACTCACCCCTATCTCTCCACCTCCAGGCAGTTTGGCTCTGCATGCTCCCCATTCCTGGTGCAAACATTAGTTCGAGCAGTGCTTCCTCTCAGCAGCAGCAATTTTTTGGAGGATGGGGAAGCTCTGAAATTATTTCCGTGTTCCCTGCTGTCATGAACACTTCTGGAGTAATGATTTACCTGGCTTTGACTGCAGGGTTTGTGACCAACCCTTCCCCCTGCCATTACCTGTTTTAGACAGGAACAGCAAGCGAGGGGATGCCCTTCCTTTGGCCTCAGCCACAGTGGCTGACGGGTTTTCAGAGAGCAGGGAGTGCTTTTCATGGCACACTGGGATTTGAGTCTCCTCCCCCCATCACAAACATCCTAGTTTTCTGTTTCCTCTCTATTCAAGTGCTATTTCACTGCCAGTCTGCCTGAGACATCTAGGGAGGGCATAGGAAAGCATCCATGGTGACATGAACAGAGAAGCAGCAGACTCTGGACCTTAAAATTTGTAGGGACTACTCTAATGGGGTCTTGATATGGAGCCTTCAGTTCCTACCGTGCTATCATTCTGCAGCATTTGCTGTCTTTATGATCACTGAATTAATCCTTCTTCTGTAAAGTTACTAGAAGTAGTTGAGAAAACGTTTTCAGCTGTTTGTGAATATTCTTGTTGTTTCCTAAATGCCTGACCCAGTTTACAAATGTGGGGCTCTCCTCAGATGTCTCTGTTGGGGTGAACAAGGCGAAAGCTTTGTTATCCCTCAGCCCGAGCCCTGGGAAGTCCTGGGAAGATGTCCGGCATTTGCCCTGGAAGATGTGACGCTGCTGTGCAGTGAGGAGCTTTCAGCTATGTTTGGCATGGCATGGCATGGCACACATCTCCTGGGGATCCAGAGGGTGGTTGAGAGGTCTGTGGAGATCAGCGAAAGCCGTCAATTTGAGATGACATAAGTCCATGTTGCTACTGAAGGGGGTGAAAGGGAGTGGATCTGATAAAAACCCAACCTTCCTCCCCTGAAAAAGTTTAGCTCTGCCACATCACCGTGGTATCATCTGCCATATGGCCACTCAAACACTGTTACCAGCACAACATGTCGGTGGGCACACAGCTAAGCAGTGAAGGAAAGGGCAATAAGCAAGGACTTGCATTGACATAAAGTGACTGTATATTGACAGTTTGAAAAAAAAGCAAGCGCATTGCCAGGAGACTTGACATCTGTTGTATGGAAGTCTGAATGTCAACTAGAGAATACTTGGGGGCCTGCATTTTTAACTATGTCTTCTTTTTTCTCCCACTTCAGTGGCTCCACCACCATACAGTTACGAATACGAAATGGAGTACCCAGCTGACCTACCTCCACCTTATACTCCAACTCCACAGACTTCGATACAGTATCCCCCACCCCCTCCTTACCCTGGATATTCAGGGAAATAATCACATGGCTTCACATGGATATTAACTGCCTGTTGAAACAGCCAGCACCGTTGGAACAAATACTGTCAGCTCAGGGACAAATAGGATGGGGTCTGCATCAACCCATATGGCCAGGTGTTGAAATAAGCTGGGAGGGTTGCCATGGCTCAGGATGAAGAAAAATACTGTCCGCTCTGGACCATCATATTTCATGATAAAACAACGCGTGACCAAAGAAACAGTTCCTGTAAGTTAGTGCCTGATGAGTAGTGCTTAGCATCAGTGCTTAGCTTCAGCTGCAGCCCGTTACAGCGCGCGGGAGTGGGGGTCTTCCCATGTAAGAACATGCAAGTGGTGCAAATAGTTCAACAAGCTCTTTCAAAAGCACAGGAGGCAGCTGCTGGGGCTTATTTTGGGGGAAGACTCCAACTGTTGTCTTCAAGAATGTCTTATGTCTTTTCTTGAAACGAGGGGAATAAGGAAGAACCAGGAAGACTGAAGCTATTTTCAGTTCTATTTCAGGCCGGTAATACCCGATGATCAGCTGTGCATATTGGTCTGATAAGCATATTATCAAGAGAAGTGCTGTTGGAGTTATTCAGTAACCAAAAAACAATGGAATTTTTTTTGGTCAAGTGCAGGTTGTTTTAAGTGCCTACTTTTAAGCAGTTTGAGACTAGTTTGTAGCCTGAAATGTAAACATAAAGAGCATTTTTAATGTGAAATACACTAATTTATAGCTGATTTACTTTTACCTGGACTTAAATACTGTATACATTGGACATGTGCTACAATGACTTTTTTATCAGCAAATGATACTTCGTTTTTTGTAAAAAATACTGAATCAGGAAAACTCACAAGTGGGAGAAGAAATACAACCCAAATATTAAAACATCATAGATTTGTCTTCAATTGGATTGCATAAAGACTATTTTTTTTTTTTAAATCATATTGCTTACCAGTAATAATGATATTCAGCCTAACCAAAGAGATGAGCAGAGAGACTGTGAGCATCAGATTACTTTTGAATGTCGTCTTGGGCATTTTAAAACTGTAAGTCACCAAATAATATTTTTTGCATTTGTCACACACACGTTGTTCAAAATTACTTAATCTCTACTATGTAAAGTACAGGCCTTCATGATTTAAAATGTTCCATATACTTATGGGGCTAACTGTAATTCAGCAGCAGCTATTTGACTTCAGAATAGAGTATCCCATTACCTAAAGCATCATCCTTTAATGGTAAGACTAGGTATTTTTCTCAGTTTTACATGCGAACCACAAAGACAGTGGTTCTCTTTGGGGATTTAAAAGTGCTGAACGCCCTTAGTTTGAGTTGGGTGGCTGGGCAGTTTGAGAATGCTACAGCCAAAATAGCGGAAGGTGACAAAAATACGGCATCTAGTGTTCAGGACACAGCACCAGGTCCATTTCAGAGATTCCCAGAGATCAGAATGCATTTAAATGTTTTCCAGTGTAGCCCTCATCTTCTTTTCAGGTGTATCAGTATATTAATGAACAAAAAAACAGCTTGCAAAAGGTGGTACCATATCCAAGTGAGGTCAGCTGACAACCTCTCATCACCCCCTAAGTCTGATATTTTTGGCATTCAGTCCTGATTCAGGGAAGAACTCAAGCAGCCTTTGGACTTTCAGCACAAAAGTTATTCAGAGGCCTTCTTGTAAACAAGACCTTATTGACTGTTCCTGCTCAGATTCTGTAATTGTATTTGTCCTTTCCAGGCTGACTAAGCTTATCCTCTTGAAACCCCACTTGAAAGCGCAAATGGCTTCAGTCCTTGCCACTGCAAGTTCAGAAGATCTATGTTGTGGCCCTTGGCCAAACTGAGCCTTGAGTCACAGGCCCATTGGCTGCCTAGGCATTTGTAACCCAGTCAAAGGAAAACTTAGCTGCGTTGTAGGTTTTGGTTGCTGCTGGTTCCTTGGAGTCTTCTCCAAGGAAGGAAAGTTATATTCGCATTTCTGTTTTGCTGCTTAGAGGTGACAAGTCCGGAACTAGGTTATCCTTACAATTATTTCTACTCTGCCCTACGTCCTGCAACATTTCAGCTAGTACCATGACCTCTCAAGAGACTGATGTTCCTCAGTTGAAATCTTCCCATGAAGTGCAACCTTCTGTGCACGGTGTTTTGGCAGTCCCTACTCAAAACCATCTGCTGGGGTATTGATGTGCCTTCAACGTGGTGGCCAGCATGAAGAACAGAATAAGCATAGTTTTCTCTGTGGGAAATCCTGTTTGTACCACATCATTCTACATTAGAACCTCAGCACTTTCCAGTTGATCACACGGGATGATATTTCTGTGCCCAAAAGTTACCTATAGATAAGGAGTATTGTATATTTCTCCCATTCTTGTATTTCATTTCTTTGTGCTGAACATGCAGACGCACAAATCAAAGCGCAGTTTGTATTTGATGAATCCGGTCTCCTGAAAAATACAGAGAAAGAAAACTATCCTATAGATTGTAAATCTGCCCTCAGAGGAAGAATTTCTCCAGCTGTGACATTTGTCAGAACAAGTTATAAAGCAAGTTTCTTAAATAAAAAGGCATTTCTGGAAAATAACTAAAAGTCTTTGATCAGAGAGTCCTCTGTTTTTCAGCTTTACGATTGCCTGTTGCCTCTGATGATCTTGCATAAAGGTCATGGTGAGTGAAGTACCTGCAACATACACATGGCTTATTCCAGGGGAAAATTATGGAAATAGGAATTTGAGAATGTCATAGTGATAGCGAGCTATTTGTTTGATATGGAAACACTAATGAAGATGTTGATTTTAGTATGTTAATTAATGTTCTGCAGATTCATATATATTGGTCCATACGAGACAATGATTTTAATCTCAAAGGACACCACATCTCTTGTCCTTGCTAAGGGCATAAAACATAAAGGTGTTGCCCTTCCAGCAAACCAGGTAAAACTAGTAGAGAGTAGCCTCTTTTCAGAGAGGCATCGAAAATAAGCAAGCAAACTGAGACAGTCAAAGAGGAGGAGGGAGTCAGAAAGATTTATAAAAGTAAAGGAATGGAACAAAGAAGTTGTTGCTTAAACAAATGGGAGCATTTGCTAATACTCAAGTTTTATTAGATGAATTTAGTTGAAAAAGTTGAAATGTTGTTATACTTTAAGTGTTATTTTCTTCGTGTGGAAACATGTAATTTGTTCAACACCTCCATATTCAAAGTCCCTGCAGTGCAGATGTTGCCGGCCAGTAGTCATTTATTCTGTTTCACATAAATAGCTTGCAGATGAGTGCACTAGTACAAAGACTTTTTACTTAGTCACACTGACTTATTTTAGTCTCATGCCCTACATCATATTGCAAAGTAAGAAAAAAATACAAAAATGTAATCTATGGCTGGGAAAGGCCAAACGATCTTTTGCTTTTCTTGCTTGGCAGTGGACAATACACTAATTTGGTCCGTGAATGTAGTGTTGCCCTGGGCAGTTCATATGCTTGGACCAGATGGTACTGATTTTCTTGTGGTCTGGGGTTGCTCTGCCTTTGGTTCACGATTTCTAGGCTGAGCTGGGGAGGCAGACGGGGAAGGTCACTGTGTCAGGAGTACAGGACCTGGTCCCAGGAGCCTTTCTCCGTCGTTTCGTAGTTTAGCACATTAGATGACTGCCTGGTTGCACGGTTGCTGTTATGGATTGGAAGCAGCAGGAGTTGCAGGTGCTTACAGGGGCACATATGCTTGCATACGTGCTGATGCCAGTCCTCTTTTGTGGAAAAAAATGAATTCTGTGTGATGTCTTAGTTAATCGTGTATCGGGGATATTTCAAGCCATGATTCATTTTGCAAACTTAATTTAATCTGGCGTTCCTTTAACTTTTTTTCCCCAGAAAGAGCTACTTCCAAACTAGTTATCTCTCTGACAGCCTACTGTTTCTCGGGTATATACCAAACAGCAGGAGGAATGTATTTAAGAGCTAATGACCCATTTGGGAGACTTTACAAATTAGGTAATAATGAGTTGGAGGAGTTAAAAGGCCAAGGCAAAGCCAAGGGAAGTTAATGTGCTAGGCTGCCATTACCTAAATGACACACTCCAATGAAAGGATCGTTAATGCTATTATAAGCCTTTTTTAATTAATGAAAAATGTAACGATTTGCTTTTTTAATGTTGGTAACTTCGAAAGATGCTGTTTTACCAGTGCACTAGACCAGATTTTCGATAGTGCCACAATGAAAAGATCAGATTGCTCCATAGAGCACCTGGATCGATATTAACACTGTTCTTGGTATAGCAGAAATAGAGTCTTTCAATTTAAAGCAAATGTTCTCAAGACCCTTTGTGAAACCACGGTGATACTTTTTGGACATAATGGGATAGTTCATAAAGCACTAATGGCTATCAGAATAGTAAATGTTTGGCAGTTTTTGTATTCACTTTCATCCTGGAAGCTCTCCAAATGCTTTAGTAACTAGAAAAATAATTATTTTAGTCACCTTGGAATAAAATGCAACATGTATTTAACAGCACACAGTAATAGTATGTAACACCCTGAGGCAGAAATTGCACAAAAGAATCAAGGGAAATTGAATATATTTCTTCAGTTTCACTAAAACGTCAGTGCTTGGACAAAACACCTTGAGAAAATAAAGACCAGGACCTTTTATCAAGTAGTCCTTATTGTTTTCCAATGGGTACACCCAGTCTAGTGGTGGTTTTTATATTGCAGCAATGTATGAGGTCCAAAAAGCAGAGCCCCAGTCCAAGCCTGGATTGCAGTGCACCCATTCTAAATACACCCCTCCTGCTCCATCATGATCTTGGTGCGCAGCTGAAAGAGATGAACAAGCAGAGGACTAAAGAAAGGAGGGGTGATGGTCCCTCACTTTACAAAAGGGAAGGAGAGATGGGGAAAAACAAAATGGTCAAGACTGATTTTGTTTTCTGATTTTGTATGACCTACGGAGGACGCTCGCTGATGCTGTTGCCAGTGACCGTCACTGTAGGAAGGGCAAAAGCGATGAGCACGGGCTGTGCTGA